GGCTCAATCGTGCTTCAACATTAAGAATGTCACTTCACACCGTCTGCTCTGATTGTCGATGAACTCCACAAAGTATCTCGCTCCCGATAGAGATTCCTCCTTCATCGGCCCACACACATCTGTGGGTACGATTTCGAGGACTTCCGTTTTACGAAAGGACTTCTTCGGGAACAGTGCCATCGTATTTTTGCTTTGCAATCGAAAGTATAGGTTGCATCAATCAGGATCACTCCTCTGATAACTCCGTCTCGAACGGAATTCACAAGGTAACGTGTGTTGATATACCCTAGACGTCTGTGAAGTATGCTGAGGGTAACTCTAGCCTGTTTGCTAGATGCGACGGGGCATGCTTCATTAACTGATTCAGCCTCGTGTAGATATTAGGGAGCATCACTTCTCACTGCCGTCAACACAACGATCTAGTACGAATCTTCAATGGTGACGCCATCTTTGCGGAAACGGTCAGTCCACAATAAGTGATTTTTTCCAAAGATAAATTATTTGATATTAGGTCCGGAACGAACAACGCGTTACTTAAGATGGTACTTCCTTCATCGCAACACACAGTCGCGACAAAATACACTTTTCCTTCGCCGATTGTTTCAGTGGGTGAACTGTTCGCGAGGTTCGATCTCACGGAAACGTCCCCGTTCCTTGCAAAGATGAATTGTGGCGCTACTGTCCACGCACCACTTTTGTTTGGACTAACTTTCGGGTTGGCCGAAACGTCATACTCATCCATGCGACCCGCACTCTCTGTATTTTACTCTTTCTTCGACACACGTTGGCTTTGTGTCCAGATTTGTTGCACTTAAAACACCCAATATTTTCGTCAACTTTTATTTCTGACCTTCCATTTTCACTGGACCAACCGCCACCCTTCTTGACGAACAAAGCACTCGACGACGCGTTGCGCACCTCGTCTTTTCGCGCGTCACTTTCTTCAACAATTTTAACTCGGAGTGCCTCCGGCGATTCGGGCAATTCCTCTCGCGACTCGATGGCCAGCGAAAATTTTCGAAACTCGCAGGTAGACTGTAAAGAAACAAAATATTTAACAGATCCGCGTATATTTCGACATCCATCTCGTTCACGTAGTCAACCGAATCGAAGAAACGGTTGAGTTTCACGAGCACGTCGTCTCCGCCTGCCATATCTTGTAGTGTTAGCCTTTTCAAAAGCGTTGCCTTTCTAGCCGGGCCTTTGGATTGATAAACCTCTTTCAGCCTCCACCACACGTACTGCGATGTCTCGCAATTTTTAACTCGATTTAGTTCACTCGAACTTCTCGACAGAATAATATCCTATCGCGCATTCATATTGTTTATGGCCCATGCTTGTATGTTAGCCGGGTTCGTGTTATCTTCCGCTGGCTTCGACTTCACAGTGACTCCGCTTACATAGTTCCACATATCGTTCTTGATCAACACGGCCTACATCTGTAGTTTCCACCCCTGTTATAATTATCTTTGCCGAGGAGTTTAACCTCGATATACTTGCAAAATTCATGGCGTTCCTAACAAGTCTTACACGCGGTCAATCAACATTTTTTCGATTAATACGTTCGCGCGTCTGGGCCCATAACCTGTTATGATTAGGATCTCAGCTCGAGATCAAGCAATGAAACAATTAGACAGCTAATACTGAACGCAACGTACATTAAGAACACTAAGACTAATTCATGGGGGAAAAAACTACATAAAGTACACTTGACGAGCGACCGACGCAGACTGGCGGGGCACACAGTTTGGGGCAGGGAGTTTCTGCCGAGTAGGAAGAAGAGTAGATGGTGACACAAGTGGAACAAGTACCACTCGCCTTCCAAATGTTCAACAGCAACAACTGCTACTCGCATTTCGAATGTCCAACGTTAATTTGTATAAGAAATTGTTTTCATGTTATTTACATAGCATTTTTGTTCTAACAGAATACAAATTACGACTACCGACTTCTACCGCAGTTTTTTGGTGTTTAAAAAATTAATTACAATATTTTTTTAAAAATATTCGTAACAATTATCCGATATCTGCGAATACAGTTGTAGAAAAACAAATATAACAAATAAGATGTTCATCGGAAAACGAGCGTATAAAAACTTCGCAAAAAGTGCAAAGTATTAATATGATCATAACACATTTGTTATAATAATTTATTTTACCAATTTATTCCTCAAAATATTTTGGTTTTTGAAAAGAAAGTCAAAATTGCATTATTTTAGTAGCACAAAACCAGAGGTTTTACGTTCGGCGGTGCGCTAGTCATATTCAGTGAATATTGAATGATATTAATGAATATTCTGAATACTTACGAATGATATGGCAAATAATATTGACAAAATATGTATTAAATATTTAAAACCATTAGATTTCATTGAAGAACTACATTTGAAAGGATATTCTTTTCAAGTGAATTTGATATAAAAGTGTGAGTGTAACAGAATCAAACATCATCGGTTTCCACCACCATAGCACATAACTATACAATATATAATTTTAAAACATGAAAGAAAAGAGGGCAGAGAGTTAAATCATTAAATATTATAATAATTTTGTGAATCTATGCAAGAAATTGAATGAAATGGAATTGAACATGTAAAATTTTGTAACAGAAAACATGACATGTAAGTGGACTGTTTCTGTCCAGCTGTTTGTAAGCCACAAAACGACTACGTGGGTTAAAGTGGGCCAAAGAGCTTAAGTACCGGGAGGGTTAAAGGCGAGGGTGCGGTGCGCTGTCTTTTGCGGCGCCCTGGAAGAGTACCTGCTAGCTGCCAGTACTAAATCTCCCGGACTGTAGTGAACTCGATCGTGTCTACACATCCTTATTAACAAATTGAAAGAAAATGTGTGGTAAGTTAAATACTCCAAAATATTGCAGAAATACATCCTGATTAATTGCCGACTTTTATTATCATCCGAATGAGACTAGTAGCCAAATAATATTTTGTAGAATGTCTATCAAAGTAATATTAATTTTAAAAGTAATATTAATTTTAACAATGACATTTATTGTATTTTATACCATTTGTATAATTGTAACGAACGTGTAACAAGTATTGTACTTCAGCTTCTGGGTCAATCAAACCATCACGATTAGGTTTTCACCCACTTTCTCTGATCCTCGAGCAAATGCTGAGATGGCCCCTTGTTTTGCTTCTGGACATAAATGTAACTTCATATTAACTTCTCCCCATAGCACGTCACACACAGTTTTTAACTGCTTTTGACGTAAATAAATAGATGGTTTATAAATTAATATTCTGATGTATTATTTTTCTGTTTATTCCAATTTTTTGAAAAATTGCAAATATGACTTCAGATTCGGATTCAGCCCCCAACTCCCTTAGTTAAAATATTTTATATACGATTGGCACATTATTTTAATTTTGGCCAACGGGCTTATTTTCGCAGTGTGCGCCGATAAACAAACTATTCATCAAGTGCCGCTAGTCGGATTTGTATACTACGCTCCGTCAAGTCACTGAGGTTACGCGAATTCGAGAGTCGCTTGTTCGTGGTTGGGTGACCTGCCCAACGCCGTCGGGCCCCTGGCCGTAGGGAGTAAAGTCACTCGCTGACTGCAACGTGGCGAGACTTGACAAAGATAGTAAAGAAGGATTACTTCCACGTAAGCGCTATATCCCCAACAAGGTTCAAGAGACGCGCTCCGTTAATGACAACGAAACAAATAATAAAAATATATGTGTCCCACTTTGAAATTTGGTATATCTTTACAAAATGGGCGTAAAAATGCACGAGTACTTTT